CGATCTCGCAAACACTTGCCTCGCGAAAGGACAAGCGCTGCATGAGGACATCAAAAGAAGAAGTTACAGGTTTAAAAGACATATTGAAGGTTAGAGGTTTATAAAACTAACTGCAATATCGTGAGCTGGTATATATCGGATCTGATTCGAGACGAAAGCGATATTTACTGCCTTCTGAAAACAAATGTTCGCTGTCATTCTACGAGTTTCACTTAATATATGCGGAATAAACGACAAACAGAGAAGGAAAAACCCAAATTACTTTTAATTCCGCTCGTAGCGGCAAAGCTTGTCAGGCTTATTGTGCAATATCAAAGAGTCGCTGAAATTGCTATAATGCATATGATGCATTATTGCAGTAAAATCCCTTGATTAAAACGCAGAATAACAATGAAGAGGTAGTATCAGATCCATCAGGAATTGCTAAGTTCCGATGTGGGACAAGTCAAAATGGTCAAGCAGCACGTGCCATCTGATATCTTGTTATACGTTGATGCTCAATTAGAGCCGAAAAAACCTGTGTTTAACTCTTTGTAAACAGAAATATTGTCATCTGTTGTAGCTGTAGACAAAAAAGAAGTTTTTATCGTAGACAAAACACTGCGGTTGCGTAATATTGGCCGCTTGTGTTTTAAAACTACCAGTCTGAAAATTGGTGATTTTTATCTGGGCATCGTTTACGGCGTATGGTAGATTTTACTGTAGATCAGCTTTTCATTCTCGTAGAAGAAAGCTCGATGTGCGACATGCTCTCTTGCCAAGTCTTATCAACCACGCTTATTGTTATCTCCGTCAAACAGTGTCATACAGTACAGCTTAACAAACACAACAGCTCGTCAGGTGTTGTGTCATATGTCAAAACAGTTCACACAGCAAACGCCTCTCCACAACTGTTTTACGCGTTACTGCCTGTGGGAAAAATTTTGGTGGTTAGGCTTGCTCTTTACGTGTTATTCAGGACTTTTGAATCATAAAAATTCTCTAACCAATGAAGCAACATACTAGAAAGAAGGAAGTTTATGCACACCAACAACGTTGCTGACAGAATTAACTGTAGTGAATTGTTGACAGAGTTAATAGTAGTGAATTGTTCCTAAGATCAGTTTCTCGCCCGTCACGAATGTCATTACGGGACGGGACGGGATAGGATTGAACGGTTTTGCAGGAAACTCGTTTAAATTTACCCGTCTTCGCATCCATCTGCGTCGACAGATTTTGATCCCTGTCAGACAAGAAACATGTCGAAATTTACTCTTAGACGCTTTTCTGGCCATGGTTCCGAAGATAATTTCGTCGAAAGGACTGGGACTTGGTCGATAGCAAAGCACTTTATAATCGCAACTTGGCGCCTCTAACCCGTCCTTATTTAAATTTCTGAGAACAAGATTAAAGTAGTTTAATTCAGAATACTGGTTCTTAATTAAAATTTAAAACTTCTTAATAAATCCAACTCATTCCAGGTTTAACTAGAGCGAGGTTTATTATTTTGCTCACGGGTATATGTGGCTATAAAGTGGCGGGGAGGGCGCTTATAAAAGCGAACCACGAACTTCCCAAAGTCGACACGCCATGACAAAGACACAGATGCAACAAAGGTTTAATCAAAAACTCGTTTAACATGTTAATTTGAAACTCTACTCTATCTAAAGGTGTCAACTAATCCTCAAGCTTTTCACCTGAGTCTCAAAAGCGTCAGTGCAAGCATTGTGTTTGATGGTGAGGTGTAAAGGAAAGTTTTGGTCGCTTTCAAGAGAAAATTACTAGGAAAAAATATTTCTGAAACATATGAGTGGAATCTAAAAATCAATGAGAACTGAAACAATACAGTATGGCTTAGACAAATGAATATTGCATTTCGATGTCAAACGTTAACTGCATAAAGCTGTTGGCCATGCATGAATTACCGATGTCCGAAGTCAATTTTGTAAACTGGCTGCGAGCAATTAATTACTTTGCCTCAGTTTGTAAAAAGTCTTTCGCCTGCGCTTCTAACAAATTATTGCTGGTTTCCGTTAAAATAATTAAACACAGTGTTTGTAGGACGTGAAAAAAGTACAATTCAGGTCATTTTACAGCGGGCTAGGAAAGTAAACAGGTGAAATAATCGATTTTGAGTCAATTTTGGAAACCGATTGCGATTCCAATTACGGGAATTTTCAGTCTCTCTTCCGGTATCACTGAAAATTGTTGCGCGTTCATATCATTTCAGGTTCAACTCCTTTCCTCTCCTTATTTATTTTTTTTTTTTTTT